ATGTCCCACCCCCACGACAGGGAACCTAATACAAAACTTTGAATCCCTAAGTACAGATGTGCTCTCTCCAAAACTGGGAAGGAAGGCTTACCATAACTGGCCTTTCTCTTTAGAGGAAAGAGGCGTGTTCCAACAGGCTTCAAATCACTATCTTCTAAAAGCTTCATCAATGTGGCAGGTCCTGAAACTTTTTCTGGATGTATATCCCATCCTGTCTCACCAAAGAATGTAAAAATAGCTGCACTGCTAGGCCATCATTTGACTAACATATCCTTAAGACCTAATTAGCATATTCTTACTGAAATAAATATGATTGATGGGGGATGTCCTTCTGTATATATGTTTCTCTTATTGGTGGTGAATAAAACACTGTTTGGTCAATGGAGGCAGGAAAATAGGCAGGGCTAGGAGATGAGGAGAATTCTGGGAAAGGTAGACAGAGAGGCATGGAAAGAAGATGCCATATAGACCACAAAGGAATAACAGGTCTGGGCATTCTCTAGGTAAGCCAAGACCACGTGGAAATACATAGATTAATAGAAACGGGTTAATAATTAAAACACAGCTAGCCAATAAGAAGCCCTAGCTATCAGCCAACAGTTTATAAATAAATATAAACCTTTATGTGTTTATTTGGGGCTGAAACGTCGGGATCTGGTGTTTCACATGATAATTCTGCAGAATACCCTAAGTCCCTTTGGATAGACTAGAGTGAGAATAGACATGTTGAAGGTTAAGACTGTGAACAGCCTGTCACCTAACCCTTAGGAATACAAACTACTTCAGATACTTTCCGATGGGTACCGAGAGAGCATACATTCACTAAACTGGGGTTTGTGAACTTTAGTTACTAAATATTTTAGGCTTTGCAAGCCATACTGTCTGTCACTACTCTACATGGCCAAAGTAGCACAAAAGCATTAAAAGACAGTATATAAATGACTAAGAATGTCAATAAACCTTTATAAAACCCAGACAATGAGCAGGGCGTTGGTGGCACACGCCTTTAATCCCAGCACTTGGGAGGCAGAGGTAGGCGGATCTCTGTGAGTTCCACACCAGCCTGGTCTACAAGAGCTAGTTCCAGCATCCACAGAGAAACCCTGTCTTGAAAAAACCAAAAAATCCAGGCAATGTGATGGCTCACTATCAGTGGATAGACATTGGCTAATAAAGGTGGAAGGAGAAAACTGACTCCACAAAGTTGTCCTCTGACCTCCACATGTTCATGGCTTCACCCCATCAAACCCCATCAAACACACACACGCACACACACACACACACACACACACACACACACACTCTCTCTCTCTCTCTCTCTCTCTCTCTCTTGACTGTAATCTGCTGTGTAATGGTCACATAACAGATGTTGTGCTAGACTTTTCAATAAAGAAAACATCTGACATAGCAGTGCTTTGGGGACTACTACTTGCTTTAGTTTGCAAATAGTCCACTGTAATCCACCAGCCAGTTTTTGCAAAAGCCAGAAATACTGAGAATCTGATGTACCCTTTAAGGGTGAACTAATCTTTGACATTTCCCTCACAATATAGTACTGTTTTTATCCTGACAGAGGTGTAGTTCTAGGAATTTCTACTTGGTCTTTCTGCCAAGTGCTGGGCGTCTTCATTGGCAGGTCAGACAGTGAGACACACATTTGGATATTGAGGAAATGGTCAGAAGATGGATCCACTGTAAGGCAGATTTGGTCTAGCATTCCACTTGTTACACATCCCATATTTCCCTAAATGGGGAATGTTTGAATAAGAGACACTGCTTCGGTGTTTTCAATCTATGGACATCAATGTCAACATAGACCTGTAATCGGAATGTGTGTTATACCTGTGTGTAAGTGGACCACATACATGCAATGCCCGCAGAAGCCAGAAAAGGCATCAGATGCCCTGGAATCGGCGTTACATACAGTTGTGAGCCACCATGTGGTTTGCTAGGACCCAATTCAGTTCTGCAAGAGCAGCAAGTACTCTTAACCACTGAGCTACTTCTCCATCAGAGTGATGGTTTATATTGATGTTAATTTATTGTATCTGGAATGGGCCAGGAGACACACTATGGGCAGGTCTGTGAGGGCATTTCTGTGAAGGACGAATTGAGAGGGGAAGGCCATCCCTGAAGTGGGAAGCACCTTCCAGCTGAAAGTATTGCTCACCTGCCTGACTGCCTTGATGTTTTTTGGTTTTTTTGAGACAGGGTTTCTTTGTGTAGCCCCTGCTGTCCTAGAATTAGCTCTGTGGATCAGGCTGGGGAACTCAGAGTTCTGCCTGGCCCTGTCTCTTGAGTGATGGGATTAAAGGCATGAGCCACCACCACCTGACTCCGCCTTTATGCTTTTTTGTTGTTTTTCGAGACAGGGTTTCTCTGTGTAGCTGTGGAGCCTGTCTTGGAACTCACTCTGTAGATCAGGCAAGCTCCTAGTTCTTAGCCTATCAGGTTACCAGCCAATGCTGTACTATTTATTCCATGTCATGTAAAACCATCTACTAAACTCCCTTCGTAATTTTTAATATATTCATTCTGTGGGTTCTGTTCCTCTAAAAAACCCCAATTAATATTGTATTCCAACTTCTTTGGATGTACTTCCCTGAGTGTGTGGTCATTAAATGGATCTTTCAGTTGATGTTTGTAACTCACATGCTGAGCTAAATTTACAACTCTTCTTTGACCTCTATTTTGAAGGTCTTATTTATATTTCTTAGCTGCCTGTCTGTCCTCCTCCTAAGACCACCCGTGTTTTATTAGCAATCTCCACCCAAGCTGATTCCCTTGTAGAAAAGCTGCTACTCTGCTTCTGTCAAGTGCTGCTTGGCTTTCCAGAGGTCAATGAGTTTTTAAGTTCTACAGCAAACACTGCATGTCCACTTCCTGAATCTTTTTTTTTTTTTTTTTTTTTTTTTGCACATTTTTGTATTATCTGCCATGTCTGCTTAATGTGGTCTGGAGGCAGGCTCAGTGGTTAAGAGCTATCTGCTCTTTCAAAGAACTAGGGTTCAACTCCAGCATCTACATCTGGTGGTTCACAACTACTCTGGTCCAGGGGATCAGACGCACAGCACACACATACACAGATTCATAATAAACCTTAAACTTTTTTCATGTCAGATGGCTACTTTTTTTTTTTCTTTTTAATGTGGGCCATTTTCTCCAAGCTCCCTAGTTCTAGCCTGTGGGGCCTTGACAGCATATTCTAGGGCCACAGGAAAAGGACATTATCATACATCTTGTATGAATTTGAAATTCATGTTTCATGAAGCCATCTATCCAGTCACAAATTTGTTACCCAAACACACAGAATTTTGGAAGGGCAGCTCTTATAAATTTTGAGAACAGCTTAAATACTTCACTAAACTTAAGCTATGCAATGGTTATTTTTGTTATCAAGAAAGAAGCTAGAAAAAGTGCTAGATATCCATATAGTGTTTTTTGGTTTTGTTTTGTTTTCCTGAAAACCAAGTCTCCACAGGTGACACATGGGAAAAGACTTCAAGAATGTAAGTATACATTTGCCTAGGACCTAAGGAGAGACTAAGGAAAGTCCAGAACACTGTTATTCCCATAAAGCTGTTGTTTTAATCACTGTATCAACTTGTGACATTAGGTACCAGAAATAGTGTCTAAAAACTTTGGTATTTAATATTACTGTGAAATACAATTACATGACCAGTGGGCTTAACCTGTTAGTGGAGTCTAGATAGTTCAGGTATTTTCAAATTTGCATGGCAAGTTGTCTACAGTCTCACCTCAATATCTGTTATGGGTAACAGATCCAAATATTGATGCAAGAGGGACTAGATGTTTAAAGCCAAAATCTCTGGTCCTTTACCACACATAATTTGAGGAGGACTGCCCTATGCACCAAGTTTTATTCTGTCACAGAATAATTCAAGTGGCATTTCATGTTCAAACAAGATAAAAATGAAATAAGTATCTTGGAAATAGTCATGGTGGTCCATGCCAGCACCACCAGAAGTGAGAATAAAGGACAGCATGGTATTGAGCACAATTAAAAGAGCAGGTCATTCTTGTTCCTATCTCCTCACCTAGCCTTGTCAAGCTTTTGTAGGAATGTCAATAAATTATTGGCAGTTCAGGCCCCAGTCATCATCACAAATCAGCTTGTACTTTTTTCCTTTCTCAGAGCATGGAGGAGTCTCAAATTCAGACCCCGAGTCTGAGTCTTCTGTTTGATGAGCTGTGGTAGCAGGACAGTCCCCACAGCCTGAGCTCAAGTACATTTCCTTCCATAGGATGTGATAGAATGTGTGGGACCTTTAAGAGTGATTTTATCAGTGTGTGTGTGTGTGTGTGTGTGTGTGTGTGTGTGTGTGTGTGTGTGTGTGTACGCATTCGTGCATGCATATGTGCTCAAAGTGACTCAAATGATAAATGTGGCTGGCGGTGGTAGTGTGCACCTTTAATACTGGCTGGCACTGGGGAGGCACAGGCAGGCAGATCTCTGTGAGTTCGAGGCCAGCCTGGTCTATAGAGCAGTTCCAAGACAGCCAATGCTGTTATACAGAGAAACCCTGTCTCAAAAAAACAAAACAAACAAACAAACAAACAAACAAAAAAGATAAATGTGAATTTGTTCTTGCAAACGTTATTTTCCAGGGGGTGATTATGATCAAAATACATTGTATACATGTATAAAATTCCCAAAGAATAAATTAATGTTATATATTTTAAGTTATTTTTCCAAGTGAACTAGACAGCTAGGTGGACTAAAATGAATATCCATAAAATATATGGCAATCATGGTCCTTAGACCTACTGAGAAGGTCAATTTAAACCTAGGTAATTTAGAAAACATGTTAACAAAATATCATTAACATCAATTATAATGTCAAGCTAAGCTGGAGGGCAGGGTCATGGTAGAAACTAGCATAACATTACACAGAACTATCTCCTAACACTTCCTACTCTGCAGCTTATAGAAGCTCAGGAAGATCAGAAACAGACCTGGATGAAAAATAACCCACACATGCGCTCAGAGTATTTATTAGATACTGTCCCCTGGGGCTTGCAGGAAAAAAGACTCAGGCTGCACCCCATTCCCAAGCATCTTCCTGAACCAAGGATTCTAGGGAATCTGATGTCTCAAGTAAGCCAGAATGTATCTGGGTAGCATGGCCACTCATTTACCAGCTCTGACACTACAATTACGTGTTGGCCAGGGAAGGGAAGGGTCTAGGGAAGGGAAGGGAAGAGAATGACACAGGAGTAGATGAAAGGGAACAAGATTGGCCTTCATCAGTCACAGTGGTTCAGAGGGGCTGGAGTAAAATAAGAATCTAAAACGAGAGGAGGTAAGAGGACAGTCAAGGGGCCAAGGAAGGTCAAGAGCTGGGTTCACCCAAACCAGAGCTGTTGAAAGAACCAAGGTAGGTAGCAACTTGAGTTCTCAGGAAGAAAGGGGAATTAAGTGGGCAGCACCTAGGGACAGGAAAAGCCCAGGGCTTCTCTTCCAACCTGACCACAGGTTAAGTGCAAAATTCCTTTCCCTTCAGAGAGCTCGAAATGAAGGCAAGGAGATGTGGTGACAAACCTACAGCCCCAGGGTAAGCTACATTTTCTCCTCATTCCCAGAAGCCCTGCCTAATAGAAACAAACACAAAGTCTTAGGACTCAGCTCCTGCTCCCCAGATCCAAGAGAGGGAGTAGAAACAAGGCACGAAGTCCCTGGGAATAAAGGGGAACATGAGTACAGCCATATAGACCATTATTTTTGGGAGTGGGAAGAAGTGATGTCTTCCTTTACGGGGCAATGAGCTGGCCTGTTTCTAACAGCAGAACACATGATGGAGTAAGGCTCACAGAAATGGCCTACAGAGCAGATTCAGCAGATCCGCAGCTGGCAGGGCACAGTCTTGAATGGGATGGAGAGTGTGGGGCAGCCAGCTCCCAGAGACGACATTCCTGCCTCAGTTCCCAATAGTTCTGCTGACTCCAGATGTTCCCCAGGTCTGGGACTCAGGGAGGAAAACGTGTTGTGTTTCACATGATCAGACACTGCTCGCCATTGGCACCTGGTGGGCCCGATAGATTGAGGGTATCCAGGTCAAAGTTGAGGCCAGGAGGCTGGAGAAGAGATAAAGGGACGGAGAAACCCACTCATATTTCAGGTCAGAGCTTCTGAAGGTCCATGCCTAGCAGCTACAATGGTCACCTTATATGGATTAACTACGGATTACTGGAGTCTGCAAACTGGGAACTGGGTTAAAATATAGAAAGCATGCTCACCATCTCCCCGGCCAGCTCTTTTGGAGGATGCCCCAAGTCCTGTAACTAGAAAATAAAAAGAACATGCAATCAAAAAAGAATAAAAATCACAGAAAACAACACAAAAAGCAACAAAAGGAATCTGATTAGTGATCTGGTTTCTCCTGACCATGGTATGTAGCCTTTCTGTGTTCCCTCCACCTAGGCTGTGTAGCACCCTTTCCAGACGTCTCCTCCAGTCAACACCCAAGTGGACAGGACCAGTAGGAAAGCACCGTAAGGAGGTCTTTACCTGCTGCATGAGATCTAGCACCGCCTCAAAACGAGCCCTGTGAGTAGCCTCGCTGTCTGTGGGCGTCTCTGCCTCAAACTGCTCACATATTTTGCCCATGACGCTGTGCTGCTCCTGGTACTTCTCAAACTGTTCTGGAGGGATAGACTCCTGGTGACTCTGCAGCCACTCTGGATACTAAGGGAAGAGAGGGAACGGGTGGGAAAGAATTCAGTGAACAAGGAGAGAAGGGGACTTAAAAAGTAAAGAGAAGAGAACAAAGAGGAAAGAAAGGCTAAACAGGCGAGTTCATCGTGAAAAGGACTAAGTACTGTTGACACCAACAAATCCTCTGGGCACACTGGTATTTACTGCAGATTAGTAAACTATGTCTGCGAAAAGCAAGAAAATAATCATTTTAGACTCTGATGATTGTACTAGTTTTATTCCTGTTGCTGCAACAAAACATCAAAAACAACTTAGGGAGGAACAGATTTATTTCATCTGATACTTCCAGGTAACAGTCCATCACAGAGGGCAGGAACTCAAGCAGAGACCACGGAGGAATACTGCCTACTCGCTGACTGTTTTGCTTGTTTTTTTTTTTTTTTTTTTTAGCTTTCTTGCTATAGCCTAAGCCCACCTGCCTAGAGATGGTACCACCCACAGTGGGCTATGCCCTTCCACATACACACAAACACACACACACTCCCCTAATTAAAAAATAGAAATAAAAATAAATCTTTTTAAAACAATATAAAAACTGCTCTTAGCTTGAGAGTTGGACTTAGGCTATACAAACACTGGTCTGCAGACTCCTGGTATTGCTACTCATTTCCTACTCAGTCACATGTTGCCCTGTGATGCTGAAGGGCTTCTATTTCTCTAGTGAAACTATAAGCTTTTTCAAGCAGGGACCATCATTTAAACTATTCTCAAATTGTTCATAACAACACCACAAAATCCTGTGAATCCTTACTGGAGAAATTAACAAAGTTAAGAAATACAAGAAGGGTCCAGGCCTTTAATTCCCAGCACTTTGGAGGCAGAGGCAGGTGGATCTCACTGAGTTTGAGCCCAGCCTGGTGTACATACAAGACAGCCAGGACAGAGAAACCCTGTCTTGAGGAGAAAAAAAGGAAGGAAGGAAAGAAAGAAAGAAAGAAAGAAAGAAAGAAAGAAAGAAAGACAAGAAGAAGGAATGGATCAGTCAAACTCAGAGTCTTGAACTAATTTAGAGAAAACTAAAGTGAAGAAATTACCCCTTCTAGCTCAGACACTCCCAGTGGGGAAAAATGATCAGATCACCTATGTACCTTTATTCCCTCAATAACTTCTTCTACTTCCGACAAAGAGGAGTTTAAAAGAATGCACTTGTACACTCAAATTGCCCTTTTACTATGCATTGTCTGAGCAGAGTGGCCCACGGTTGACATAATGAAGTGAGGAGAAAAGGCAGAAGTGGAAACTCACACACCTTTTCCGTGATCTCCTTCAGGGACGGGTACAGTACATCCTTAGACAGGAGGTTCTGCATGATGCTCTGCATGATGGGGAGGATGTTCCCATCCCCGTCCCCGTCATCCATGCCCAGCCCTTCCATGGCTTTGGTCAGTTCCTCTTCAGACATGCCTGAGTTCTAGACAAGACAAAAGAGAGGCCAACAGGTTACACTGCCTTCCTGGAATGCTTACCACTCTTTTAGGTTCAAAGAACTATCTAGATGTGCCTGTAACAAAAATCAAGGCAGGGTCAGATTTGAGGAGATACCCTAGAGCATCTACTTTGTGAGACTGCTCAGGAAGCATCTGGGAGTGGACCCCTATTCCTTCCCTTTACCTGAAGGTCAGTGGCATTTTTGGCTAGCCCACTTAATGTCTCCTTTAGGCAAGAAGTAAATTCTTGTTGAGAGTTTGCATCACTGCCTAGGAGAAATGAAAAGAACCAGGATTACCTAGGAGTTTAATTGTCAGCTTGTCTAGACTGACCTACTTACCAGCTTGGATATAAAGCATTTACTAGCAAACTACTAATACATCAAAATCTTACCTATTCTTTTTGGTCACCTTCATGGTCATGCCATAAATCTATATAGATTATGTGCTAATTGTTCTGCACAGTAACACTCACAACACTGTCTTTTCAAAGGGCTAGTTTGGGATAATCTTATTTATTTATTTATTTACTTTGGGGGGGGGAGGGGGGTTGAGACAGGGTTTCTCTGTGTAGCTTTGGTGCCTGACCTGGAACTAGCTCTTGTAGACCAGGCTGATCTCAAACTCAGAGATCCACCTGCCTCTGTCTCCTGAGTACTGGGATTAAAGGTGTGTGCCACCAATGCCCCGCTATTTACTTTTAAGACAAGGTCTTACTATGTAGGTCTAGCTGTCCTGGAACTCAATATGTAGATCATAGTGAGTTCCTCAAACTCACAGAGATCCATTTGCCTCTGCCTCCCATAGATTAAAGGAACATGCTACTACACCTGGTTGAAATAATCTTTTTTTTTTAATTATTTTCCAAAATATCTTAACCTTTTCTTACAGTAAGCAAGATCTGATTCCCACACTTGTTTTTCTTGCCTTGCTCCACTCCATGGCTGTAACATTATAATCAATGTTATCAATGTTACAATCCTGGTATTCTAGAGCAATAAAGAGGTCTGTCCAGTATATTTTGTTTGGGGTTTCCTCACCCACTCTCCCAGCTGCCTCTGAGAGCTTCTGGAACTGTTCCACCAGGTGGGGCTCTTCTTCAGCCAGCTCCTTCATTGCCTTCTCAAACTCTGCAGTGGCTTGGGAAGCCAACTCACTATCGAACAGTTCCTGGAAAAACTTCTCTTGGGAGGCGAAGAGGGCATCCTGCAGTGGAGAGGTGGACAAAATTCATCTCTTACAGCACCACCCTGAGTCTAGCCCTCTATGGGAGCTCAGGTAGTGGGCTTGGAAAATGAAACATCAGCCCCACAGACACCTCCACTGAACATTCTATCTGCCTCTTCTTCTCGGGAGGGCAGCAAGCAAAGAATCTGGACACTGAAGGAATAGTGTGAGGTAGCATACAAATCCAATCACTAAAAACTGCTCTTTTCTCAAAGTGCTTCTTTGCTACCCCTCAGTACAACCCCAGGTCCTTGTTTCACAGGAGCTGAGGCCTGGAAGAACACCCAGCAGTTCCAGGCAAAGGCATCCTCCCACCCACCCTTCTGGCCCATAGGGGCCTGCCCCACCCCTGCTCTGATTTGCATGCCCATCCCCCCTCCCTTAAGGGGGTGGGATTTATACTTTGGCAGTGTCTCCTGGCGATTTCTTCTGGGGTCCTGAAGCATCGGGGGCCGAGGTGGTAGGAGGGGGTGCTGGGGAGGGTTTGGCTTTATCGAAATCATCAAGAGCACCTTTGGAAACAAGAGACATGGTGGGTATGTTGGGGATAGATAAGGCTAGCAAGCTGCAATTCTGAGCAAACTGTCAGGAACATAATCATATAGAGTGCCAGCTTCCTTGAACTCCCCTCTTTTCCTGGTGTCTCCCCTGCCTGGTCCACTGACCAACAAACAGGTTTCCCACATTCCTTGGGAATCATCTAACTTATTATGAATAGCTGGCAAGAAAGAAAACCCTTTACATAAAGCCAGTGTTCATCTTAGAACTAGGGAGAAAGGATGAAATAAGCTGCGCAGAGAGAAATCTCTATATGCATGCTATAAAATTCCCTAAAACCACACACAGTTATCTAACATGAAGAGAGGGAGAGATACTTATTTCTTTGAACCCACTCTGAGGCATTAACGGCAATATCCTCTTGTAAGAAAGCACAGGGTATCCCACCCAACTCTCCATGGGCCCTACTACTCGTACAAACTCCACCCGTCCTACAGGAGGGTAGTAAGCTCTGAAGTTATGTTCAATTCAGCAGGCACCTACAGCTACTCCCCTTGGCCTTATAAGCAGTAACCCTGGGCCAATGGAGTCACTTGCCACGCCTCATTAAATCTGTTCATTCTCTCCCTGCCTAGGTCGTTGTGACTGAGCAACAGATAAAAGGTTCACCTCTGCCCTGAAAAGCCTGTGTTGTCACCACCACTCTGCTTGCCAGGACTAGTGAAAGGGCACCGGCCTCACTCTGGGCAGGAAACCAGGGTGGAGGGCAAGAGTAACAAACATCCACCATCACTTCAGGAAGATGAAATGTTTCCCCCTGGGATTGGCTCACTGTCAGTTTCTCCAAAAGGATGAAAAAGGATGTCAGGCATGCTGGCATGGAGAGGCAGGGGCCGGGAAAATCACAAGTTCAAGGCCATCTCTGAGTCTGAGGCCAGCCTAGACGACACGAGACAGTCTCTCAAACCAACAATAATTTTCGAAGTAGTCTCCTTGAACTACTTACACAAAAGAACCAAGGGCCTGGTAAAGAATGAGGAAAGACTGTGAGGTAAAAGGAGTTAGGAAAGACACTTTTGGGTTAAGAAAGAGACTACGACGGACATAAGGACCCTTGGAGTTACTCTGTTCTGTGAAGGTTGCTACTGACAGGGGAGGAGATTTCAATAATTCACTAAAGCCGGTCCTGGCGGTTGCAGCCTGTAATCTCAGCACTCCCATAGGCTGAGGCACGAAGACGGTCGCGAGTTCAAAGCCAGCCTCAAAAACAATCCGACACTCTAAAGCAAGACCAGTTTTGGCGGGGGTGGGGGTGTCCGCAGAGAGATTTGAGGTCTGGACTGATCAGTGACCAAGGCGAACACACAGCTCCCGCTGAGGCGGAGGGCCGGCCGGGGTCGAAGTCAGACCACCTCCCCCGCCAACCACTGGAGAGATTCCCCCGCTCCGCCCCAAATCTCAAGTTCCCTTAACCCCGCAGAGGGTCCTCGCCCCCGACCCCTCTGGCCTTCCCGCCACGGGCTCTTACTTTCCAGAAGCTCCTCCAGTTCCCGGTCCGCTTCGACCCCAGCATCGCAACCTTCCTCAGCGGCCGCCATCTTGCTGCCTCCGACTTGCCGTAGGAGGTGGAACCACTGGCGCCACCACACGTCCCGCCCCTAACCCCGCCCCTGTGACTTTGTGCAGCCAATGATATCGCTCTACTGTGCAGGACCGCCATTTTTAAAGGGACAGGAAACCGTGGCTTTCGTTGGTTGTTGTTGTTTTTATTTTTCTTCTGAGAAGCAACCTCGGTCCTCGCACGAACTAAGCCAGCACTCCACCCCCGGAGCTACAGCCACGGCGGTTGGACTTGAACTAGATCTGTTGCGCAGGCTGGTCTAGAAATCGGGCGCCTCCCGCCTCCATTTCCCAAATGCCCGACCCACCAGGCCCAGCTTGAGGTGGGGGCCGGGCTGAGGGGCTGAAGAGGCGAGAGGATCTGTTTGTTAACTTTCCCTTTCGTCCGGAGAGGTTTTGTTTTCAGGCAGGTTCTTCTTGTCCTACTGCCTCCTCCTCCAGAAGGAAGAGATTACACCACAAGATTTAGCTAAACCCGGAGCTAAAAAACTCCCGGTAACGTGCATTTTTTTTTTTAAGGCTAAAAACAGAATTGTCAAATTGAGGCAATTTCAAAGCCTGCATGGTAGGGGAGATTTTTTGTTTGTTTGTTTTCAAGACAGGGTTTCTCTGTGTAGCCCTGGCTGTCCTGGGACTCGCTCTGTAGACCAGGCTGGCCTCGAACTCACAGAGATTCACCTGCCTCTGCTGTGCTGGGATTAAAGGTGTGTGCCACCCCCCCACCCTTAGGAGAGACTTCTACCCATGCCCTGGACTCTGACCTCCACATGTGCTCCTTGACACAAAACAGATAGATAAACAAAATAATGATTGCCAAATCTATTTTTAGCACGTAGTGAGCATCTACAGTTGTATACAATCTTATGCTAGGCACAATGAAATATACAAATAAATCCGAGTTGGTCCTGCCTGTAAGGGCTGACTGGAGGTAGAATTGGAAACACAGTTAATAGAATTCAGACAGACTCAAACACAAACATAATTCTTTCTCTGCATTATTTCCTTCTCTGTTGTGTGTGCATTTGTTTTGTTTTACCGAGACAGGGTTTCTCCGTGTAGCCCTAGCTGTCCTGGAACTCACTCTGTAGAACCAGGCTGTCTTCAAACTCAGAAATCACCCTGCATGTGCCTTCAGAGTGCTGGAACTAAAGACGTGTGCTACCACGCCCGCTCTGCTTTCTATTCCTCCTTCTGATAGTCCTAACATCCTACCGCAATGTAACTCACCCCTCACTGCTCTTTCTGACTTCCTAATACATAGTGAATACTGACAAAACCGTATTTCATAGTACCCCCTCTCCTTTCTTGCTTGAAGAGGCTCATTTAGCTCAGGCTGACCTAGATCCTCATCCTGTTGCCTACACACCCCAAGTACCAGTATTACAGATACTCACTGCCATGCCCTATTCTGCTCATATATTTTTTTTAAGATTTTATTTATTATGTATACAACATTCTGCTTCTATGTACATCTGCACACCAGGAGAGGGCACCAGATCTCATAACGGATGGTTGTGAGCCACCATGTGGTTGCTGGGAATTGAACTCAGGACCTCTGGAAGAGCAGTCAGTGCTCTTAACCTCTGAGGCATCTCTCCAGCCCCTCTGCTCATATTTTTTTCATACTGTTTAAGGACTTAATGGCTCTCCACTGCTTATGATTAACTTCAGACTTTTGACTGATAGAATTATTTCATATATATCCATTCTTCTTTCCCAAGTTAGGTAAGTGACAAGAAGCAGAGATTATCAACTGGGTTCACAATACTTACTTTAGAATGTTTGTGTACAGTTTTGTGATTTAATTTGTAAACTTACAAAAAAAAAGACCCTTATTTTTAGACAGGGTCTCACTATGTAGCACTGGCTGGCCTAGAACTTAAAAGATCATCCTGCCAAGACTTAAAAAATATTTTTAATTATTTAAAATTGTGTGTGCGCACATACGCATTTGGGTGTGTGTTTGTGAGTGCACTTCCTGTTAGGAGCAAGAGGTGACAAATCCCTCTGGAGCTAAGAGTTATAGGTGGTTATGAGCCACCAGGTGTGGATGATGGGAACTGAACTCTAGTCCTCTGCTAAGCCATTTCTGTAACCCCCAAGATGTCGTTCTTGAGACGGTCTCACTCTTTAGCCAAGGCTAGCCTTGAATGTGAGACAATTGTTCCGCCTCAGCCTTCCAAGAATTTTAATTATAGGTGTAAGCCACCATGCCTGATTCTTGCCTGTACTTGCAGGAAGGATGTTTAAAACTTGAGAAAATATTTTTATAGTATACAGGTTTTTGAGAAAGCAGCCTTAGTTTGAGGATTATATTTAAGACAGCAACTCTTAGATCTGACAACATAAAAGTCCTGTGATCTTTGAAGCAGGTATTCCTTTTGTAGTTCAGCCTCAGGGATACTTTCCCCACCCATACAATGTGTGTTCAAGTTTATTTATTGCAACAACGCTGATAATTGCAAAAGACTGCATAACCCAGATACTATAGACACTTTCATAACTTAAAATATGCAGTGAAAAAACTAGTATGTATACTAGTTTTAAAGCAAAATGTTCAAGACCTGTCTCAGAAATAACACAAAGAACCTGGTACACACTTTGCACATCTTTTCCCCAGTGGATATAGATAGCTCAGTAGTAGAATGCTTGCCTGTCATGTGCAAAACCCTGGGTTCAATTCCAGTCACTAAACAAAATTTCTGCATCTATCTAGTTTTTGAGAACGGTGTGTGCTACCCTATGTAGTGCTAGGAACTAAGTCCAGGACCCTGTACATACTAAGCCAGCACTCTACAATGGAGCTACATCTCCAGCTGTGTGCTTGTGTGGATCTACACGTGGGGTTGTGCATGGGAGCGCAGGTGCCTGTGAAGGCTCAAAACCCTGGCTCTCCTGGAGCTGGAGTTACTGGTGATAGAAACTGAACCTGGGCCCCCTGGAAGAACTATGCTTGCTCTTAACTGCCGAGCCACATGTTAGCCTATTTTGTTGTTTTTGAGATAGGGTAGTCCAGGCAGGCCCTGAAATACCCGGAGTTATCCTGAACTTAAAAAAAAAAAAAATGATTATTTTGTGGTTGAACGTTTTGATGGGTGTATAGATTTGTGCACCATGTGCTGTGCCTGTGGTTACCAGAAGGGTGAGTTAGAACACCTGGAACTGAAGTTATAGATGGTTGGAATTGAACCTGTGTACTCTGAAGAGCAGCCAATGCTCTTAACTGCTGAGCCATCTCTCCAGTCTCTGGTCTTCAACTATTTTTTTTTTTTTTTTTTTTTTTTTTTTTTTGAGACAGGATTTCACTGTGTAGACCTTGGCTGATCTGGAACTCACTATGTAGACTGAGCCAAGTTGGTATTGAATTCACAGATTTGCCTCTGCCTCTGAACTGTTGGGATTAAAGACCTGAGCTGGTCTTAAACTTTTGATCCTGTTTTAACCTTCTAAGTGCTATAGAACAGATGGAGCCACCAGACTGGGTCTGAATGCTTATATTTTAAATCAAAGGAGTAATATATCATCTATCCATTACTCAGTATAGAAGCAAAATGCCCTTCTGACAATTGTGATAGTTCTATGAATATGACATAATTTAGAATCACCTGGTAGAAGGACCTCAGAGAATGTCTGTTTAGAATTATGTGCCCACCGTGGGCAGCAGCATTTGCTGGGCCTGAGGTCCTGAATTTAAAGGAGAAAGCTGCCTGCCTCTGCCTTCAGAGTGCTGGTACTGAAAAGAGGTAGACTTCTTGCCAGGCAGTGGTGGTGCACTCCTTTGGTCCCAGTACTGGGGAGGCAGAAGCAGGCAGATCTCTGTGAGTTCCAGTACAGGCAAGGCTGCCACACAAAGAAACACTGTCTGGAAAAAACAAACAACAATAACAACAACAAAACCCTCCTTTTTCTTCCCAGTCCTGTCAGTTCAGGGCCAGCCAGACCAGCCAAATAAGATCCTGTCTCAAAACAACAACAAAAACAAAAAACAAAAAAGAAAACTAGTCGAGTACTGGCAGGAATACTTGAATTCTTTGCTCTTTGCTCTTGACTGTGGATCTAATGTGACTAGCTGCTTCAAACCCCTGCCACCTTCACTTCCCTGCAGTGATGGACTGACTGTAAGCTGGAAATGGGAGTCAAATAAAGAAACCCTTTCTCCCTGTGGTTGCTTTTGCCAGGGTATTTTTGTCACAGTACTGGGAAAAGAAGCTAAGACAACTGTGTGCTTATTGTAAATACATGAACAGTGATGGACACTGATAGGTGCTCAGCAAATATTGGCTGTAATCAGCAACAGATAGAAAGCTGTAGTAAAAATGCAACAGAGAACTCTTTTTACTTTTTATTTTATTGGTGTTTTGCTTGCATGTATGTCTGTGTCAGAGTGTCAAATCCCCTGGAACTGGAGTTATAGACAGGTGTGAGCTGCCAGGTGGGTGCTGAGAATTGACCCTGGGTTCTCTGGAAGAGCAACCAGTGCTCTTAACCACTGAGCCATCTCCCAGCTCCAAGAGAACTCTTCTTACCATTCTCCAACAATGTAGATCTATGCAGCACATATCTCTTAAGAAAAAAATGTCATTTTCTCCTTGCAGTGATATTAATTAAAATGTATATAATAATTAAAAATTGATTCTGAACAAAGAATCTCCTCTGGTGAGAGAGCTACATAGATGCGAACAGGCACATGAAATTAACTGTCCAAGAAGTAAATGGCAAGCCAGGGAAATAAAGTATTTACTTTATTTTTAATGTGAGCAACAAAACACAAGAACAATGGCTATAAAGGACAAAACAAATCAGTGAAAAATGGTATACATTTTGAAAAAAAAAAAAAAAAGACTCCTCAGTCTGCAAGTGTCTGGGCCCACAGAGGGAAGAAACCTACTGATGACGTTAAATGCCCAAGGAAAATACAAGATAGTTATGAATTTCGTGGCATTTATTAAATTCCACTGTTTTCTAGTGGAGTGGAAACAAAGG